CCAATTCAGCTTTGTTATAAGCACTCTTTGTTCTTCTCCATGATCTCGTTTTGTCAGCTTTCGCTTGTTCAGTTGGTACCGAAGTGTTGATTTGGAGGTAGGCTCACAGACGAGGGGCGTTCGCAACAGCTGTTACAAAGAAATCGATTTTTGTTACAAATGTTGTGCCAATGATTGGCAAGACTCAGTACTTGTTTTGGAATAATTCGGGGAAAAATATGTTGAACAAATAAGTTCTATGATTTTCAGTAAAAAAATGTTTTTAATTTAAAAACAGAAATTTTTATCAAGCTGACCTGATTTTTCTGATATATGGGCCAGAATTTGCTCGTGAACTTTAGTTTCAATTGGCCAAGTTTGGTTAAAATTAGTGCAATTGTTGTGGAAAAAAAATAAAAATTTGAATGCATTTAAAAAACCTTTCGAAAGAAAGCATGCAAGATTTAAACAAACAGTAGAGGGTTAAGGAACATTCAAAAAGTAGGTTGGAGATTTACCTCGTTTCAATTGATAGTGCGATGAAAACCCCCAAAAATTCCTACACTGGCATCATTCACGGTAATTTCACTTAAAAATTGTAGTTCAGTAGGAATTTAAAACAGCCAGGCAGATTTCTCCCCAATATTGGAATACATTTATGTACTCAGGGTTCCTCAATCTACGTGTAGTGACCCACTTACTTGTGCTTGCATTAAAATGTAGTTCACTATTAATATTTAACGGAAGTTAGGTTTGTTCATAGTATTTACATGAAGCATCAGCTAATGTTCTGCAAAATCATTGGGTTGTATGCAATGGTGACGTAGAACTACGAGGTCTTATATAATAAATCTAATTTGTTAACTGCATCAGGAGCTTGCGTTTTTTGTAGTAATAGGAATTTGAGCGGGGTTGTTTCTGTTTATACTCTTTAGTACGACGCGTTTGACATAGATGGCCCCCAGGAACTCACGAAGAGCTACTGATTCCGATCAATAGCGGTGCGGTTGCTTCCTCCTTCTATGGATACTCATGTGGGCAGCAGCTCGCTGCTTGCAGACAGCCTTTCGTTGTGTACTGGAGAACAATGTTCAACGCCGCGCTTCGCAAGCACTGCTAGTGCTGCTGATGCCGACGACCGGACACCACCACACACGGTGATTGGAACTGAAACAGCGATCAGCGGTTGAAGGCAGCCTTGATAGCTAGCTGCTTGTGGGGAGCTATTCGTTGTGTATTGGAGAACACCACCACTCACCACGCGGTGATTGAATGAACACCGTTTGGTAAGACCGGATGGAATTCAACTTTGAAATCTGTGTTAGGGAAATCGCTTTTCGCAGGCAAACGGTGATAATTTTAATTATCATTGCAACAAACATAGCACATTAGTGAAATTTTTAATAGTGAAAAATGATAAAGTCTTAAATTTAATAGATGCGTTGAAATATTTCTGATCGATTGGTGATAAAATTATAAAAATTGGTCCAGGGGCAACTGAGTTATAAACGTTAAAAATCTTTCATAATTTTGTTACGTGTTCCATTTTCAATTTTCACAAAGTGTACCCCCATATAAAAATCACAGACGTAGTCCTACGTCAAAAATATTCTTGTGCTCAGAAACCGATGCTGTTTCAGATGATGTATCTAAGTCCCCAATTGTGTGTGCTAACAAAATCTTCCATCATGTATAGATTCAACAAGGTCCATTCTATGAAATCCCAGTCTAGCTTTCAACGGACAGAGCCGAAATGCAACTTGAAAGAACCATTAAAGTACGAACATTTGTGAATATAAATCCGTTTTTCTCAAAAGCTGTAAATTTTGAGTACATGTTTGGATTCAACGAGGCAAAATTCATTAAATTACATGCATTGGATTAAGATCAAAGCTTCAATTTTGGACTAGGATTAATCAAAATATCAGTATAAGAATGAGTTAACGTTTAAACAGTTTTCGGTGTGGGTCTGTTTTTTGATAGCAACTCATTGTTGCGGTGCTTGCTCATTGTTTGACGTTCGTTTGCTTTTACCGTTTCCCCGTTGGAAGCAAACAACTAGTGGAGATGTCAGTGAAAATAAAACTGACGATAAGATTCAACTTCGCACATCAATGGAAGAGATTGTGACGTATTGAGGAGCACAAATTTATGTTCATCAAGTCCAAATCAGAAGATTCGATGCAGTATTGTTTCCTAAACAACCATGAATAATTAATTGTCCATAATGCCGATGGAAAATCTGTCAAAGTACGCATGTTGCCTGCGGGGAGCACCGTTAAGTACGTGAGAGTTTACGACCTACCACCAGAAGTCCTGAATTGCGGCCTAACATTGGTGCTAGGGAAATACGGTGATGTAAAGCGTGTAGTATGGGAGAAATTTCCAATTGCCTTGGGCCTCGATATGCAGACAGGTGTACGGGGAATGGACATGGACGTATAAAAGGAAATTCCCAACTCGCTGCAATTCCTCAATTGAAAGGGAGCATATTCTACCAAGGGAACAAAAACTTGTGCTACCTTTGTAAGATGGAGGGGCATCGTATGAACTTCTGCCCCAAACGGAAGGAACGGAATCAGCTAGTACAGCAATAAAAGGAAGATTAAACCAAACGGAACGGAACCAGGGCCAGTACGTACGCTGGTGTAGTGACTGGAGATGCATCGCCAAACGAGGAAGCGGTTGAGGTCCTGGCAAAACAGGTCTTGTCTTGTCCATCTGATCAACTTTGCTGGGGATCTAAACATATTTTTCAAAAAATATTTGGTAGGCAAGTTCTGATTTCATATAAACAAAAAAATCTGGGCTCTGCATATAGTACAAAAAATGCTGGATCTTTTTTACGAACGACATCTGTTGCGGAAATCAACCATGCTGGTATTCCATACAGATTGATTTATTAATGGTCGTATAATCACACTCAACTTTGAGTTCCGTTTATTCAAATTCGCCAAAACACCGGTCACTCATAGACTGAGTAAAGTTTTCTTGATATGAGGAAAAACTGCTCGAATATGGAAAAAAAATCGAGGAGAAAAGTCCATGAGGTGACCGTGGTTTTTACGAATTTGAGTAAACGGTACTCCAATTTGAGTGAGGCTCAACGGCCGTATAGATCAAATGCAAGGGCAGACTGAAAACATCCATTTGAATGTGATCCTTTTGATAGTAGATCGTTGGTGTTTCAATTTTGTCCGTAATTTTCAATTGAATTTGAGAATTGCCTGATAACTCAAAACTAAAATCTTCATTTCAAAGCATGATCTTAAAATACGTTGTTCTATGATTTTTATTATTGGAATCTTCAGCCGTATATTCATAACTATGTGTCATCGTCTTTATCTTTATCTTTCTTTATTAAAGAGACTTTCAGCCATCGGCTGGTTCATCTGTGGCAAACCCCCGTAGGGGGTGCCCCAAATAACAGAGTTGGGTATTTGGGGCCCCATAAGGGGGTCCCCGACTAGAAAGTGGGCCTCGGAAGGAGGTTTCCCTAATACAGAGTTTTTTTTCAGAGTTCGGAGTTAAGGTTCAAACAATAGTACACATATAATAGTTGAGTATCACAGTTGCTGGCGTAGTTTAGGTATAAGTAATTTGTCGTAGTCGGTAGTCAGTGTCGATAGCGGGTTGTTGGTGGTCATGTCAGTCCTTGGGCTTAAATACTTTCATAAAGATTGGTGTCTTTAATAAAGCAGATGACTGCTACTTCCGTTGATGGGTCATTCGATAGGGTGTTCCTTATGCTATTCGGTACACCGTAGAGACTTCTTATATTGCTGAACACTGGGAAATCTACCAAAATGTGTTCCACTGTCATGGTAAGGTTGCAAGTGTCACAAGTTTTCCGGAAATTGGAGGAGCAGCCCATGTTGTGAGTTGCACGTGTGTGCCCGGAACGGAGACGAGACAAGATAATCTGGTCTTGTCGACTTGGGTTGTCCTGCCATTTGGAAGTCTCTCCTTTCACCTTCAGAGTAAAATATTGCTTTGTGGAAGCCCACTCAAGGTTCCAAGCGTTGCATAAAATGAACCTGACCCATCGCTTATTGTCGGGACCAGGAACCGGCTGGTAGCTGCCAGATGATCTGCTTCACAATTACCTCTAATGTCGCAGTGACCCGATACCCAGAGGAAAATTGTATTGGGTGGTGATAGTTCTTGGATCGCCTGGATTCTAGGGCAGAAAGGGAACTGGCCGAGTCTGATAAGATGCAAATGGGTTTGTTGGCGTTTATAGTAACAGCGTGGATAATGGCCGCACTTTCCGCGGGGAAAACGGAGCATTGGTCAGGGAGTCGAAAAAAATGGCTCTCAGTAGGGTCTGAGATTCCAAATCCGACTTTTTCTCTAGCTTTAGAGCCGTCCGTGTATCGGTGATGGTAGTCGTGATACTTAGTCCCTAGGATTTTGGCGACGTAAGCGCGCATTTCCGGAGAGTTGTCTCCGGCTTTGAAACGCCGCGCTACAGAGAAATCGACGCAAAGTGGAGAGACCATCTCCTGGCTCCGTTCCACTGGGGGGAGTTTCTGATGGGCCAGGGTCCCAAGAAGTCTGTTCCCCTCTCTGAGGAGGCAGATCTCTTCAGTTCCAGTTGTTTTCTCTAGAAAACTGATGGTCCTCGACGCATGTATCATCGTTTAAAGAGTGAGTAAAATATGATTCACGGATTGTGGACTTAAGTAAAATTCCGCGAAGTGAGTCGTAATCAACGAAAGATGGAGATACACTATTTTAACCCGATCATATAGATTGATAGTGGTAAAGCTGCAATCTGCCGAGCGGTATCCTTCTAGGAGTGGCGATTGAGCCACCACTTTACCAACGGAAAACTTAATAGCAACAATTTAGCAGCACTGATTGGTGTCAACTAAGATTTAAAAATAAATTTCAAAATATGTTCAAATCAGTTTTAAACTCCCAGATAATAAGATACTAAGCCTTTGAAAAAAATGCATACAATTACTCAAAGCTCTATCTAAATCTCATGACCAACGTCTTCGTTCCTCCCCTTGCAGATCTCTGCTACCGGCCCGGGCAACCCGACTGCTGACGCGGCGCCTGCAAAACAATGCCACTCCTACCAACTGTGGCACCGGTGGTTCGGACAGTCCCCGCTCGATGGACAGCCTGCCGCGGCGATCGGCCCTATCCGCATCGTACAAAACGGCCACCCTGAACCAGTTCAACAACAACAACATATTTAACAATACGGACTCTGCTTCGACGGCCACCAACTCGGCCGAGGATCTCACCCTACTGGACAAGTCGCTGCGCAACTCCATGATCCAGGATGTGGTACACTTTAAGAAGCAACTGGTCCGGCTCCGTCGGATTCTACAGGAGGTAAGTTATGAGGTGGTTGGCGTTGTCGTTTCACCATGTGATGCCTCTAATTGTGCACAGTGTAGTGTTGAGTAGATTGCACCGTTCTTCGATCGATGTTGATAACAAAGAAAGCTGCATGGTGATGATTTCTCAACGTGTGTTAATAATACTTTTTTTCTACTTGTTCATTTCTTTTTATAGGTTGTTATGACATGAGTTGTACCTAGTTAGTTACGTTATATAATTTTTCTTTTTCTTCGATTTATTTTCATATTTTCTTCATCCTTTACTTCCCGTTCTTCCGTTCTTCGTTCCCGTTCCGTATGTTGTGTGTGTATAATCCATTACGCGTTGCCCGTTTTCTGTCTGCACACAAACGAAATCAATTTTCCGAATCTGAAATTCAATAGGATGAAGAAAATTTGATGATGGTAGGTTTTCGAAACGATTTATTGTTGTAACATAATTTCTTAATGTTGTAGCGAGAATTTATGCGAGAATTTTACACCTAACTCTGCCTCGTTTGCTCGTTTGCCCCTTTAGACCGATACTCTCAACCCATTTGAGAATAATAATGGGCAATTCTTCACTACTGCTACTACAACAACCCCAACAACGACGAGTTCAACTACGACGGGGGCCACAGGAGAGACGGGTGCCATAGCCACTAGTGTCGTCGACAGTAAGCAACAGGAGAACACCCTGATCAAGGAGTCCGGCGTCGTGGCCCTGGCACTGCTCGAGGACCAGCGGCAGGAGCTGGCGGATCTCAGAAGACAGGTGGTTTACCTTCAGGTATTTGCACGTTCAATTTCCTGTTTATTTTTCTAGTATTAGTTAGATTTAGGTTGATTATAGGCTAGAGCGAGTTTACCGTTTTTACGCATAATGATGTTGACGAGGACAGAATTGGAAAAAAAGTGGATCCCTCCAACAAATGGTACCACGTCTATGTCACATCATTACAATGGCTAAAGTTTGATTATTTTCTACTTGTACATTGAAATTTCAACGTTCTGCAATTAGGATCAAAAGGTAGTTGCTGTTGTGTTTATATCAGTTTTTTTTAATTGTCTTCTTTTTATTTTTTGCCAAAATTCTCCATCATTTTGAGTTGAGGATCAACTATTACTATAGGGGAAAATAAAAACAAATTATTTAACTACTCTGGCAAAGTCGTCTGGATATCGAACTAGAACAGCAGTTTCATAATTATTGTTCAAAATGTATTCATCTTTTGACGTAGGACTACGTCTCTGATTTCTATATGGAGGTACACTTTGTGAAAACCGAAAATGGAACATGTAACAAAATTATGAAAGATTTTGAACGTTAATAACTCTGCTGCCCCTGAACCAATTTCAATAATTTTAACACCAATTGATGATAAATATTTCTACGCATCTGTTAAATTTAAGACTTTATCATTTTTCAACATGTTATTTGTGAAAATTGCACGGATGTGCAACTGTTGCTATGATAATTAAAATTATCACTGATTGCTTGCGAAAAGCGATTTCCCTAACACAGACTTCAAAGTTGAAATTCTTCTTCTTCTTCGCATTTCAAGCTTGTTGCATATCGCATATTAGCTTATTGCGTGCTCTCAACTTAGTGTTCTAGATGCACTTCCACAGTTATTAATTGAGAGCTTTCGATGCTTGTACCATTTTTGCATTGGTATAATTGTGTGGCAAGTCCAATCATACTTCTATGCCCAGGGAAGTCGAGAAATTTTCCAACCCGAAAAACTCCTAGACCGGACCGGGCATTGAACCCAGCCACCTCCAGCATGGTCTTGCTTTGTAGCTGCGCCTTTACCGACTGAGCTAAGGGAGGCTCCAAGTTGAAATACAGATTTCAAATTGGAATCAGTAGCTCTTCGTGAGTCGCTGTGGGCCATCTATGTCAAGCGCGTCATACAAAAGAGTATAAACAGAGAGAACCCCGCTCAAATTCCTATTCCAACACAAAATACAACTACCGCTCCAATTAACAAATAAGATTTATTATATAAGACCACGTAGTCCTACGTCACCATGGTGTACAACCCCATAGGGCCGTTCCTTGTGGTTTTTTTTTTTATAAGTATGTGACAACTCCATTTTAGGTTTTGGATTTCCATTTAGAAGTGGTTCGGGACCAAAAAACAGTAATGTTCAACTGGGCTCTTAAGTACTTGCCATTTGGATTGGGATCTTTTAGGAATACGGCTGATCAACAACTGAAAACCTTCTTTAATAAAAAAATGAACTAACGACTGATGAACATGTTCTGCTAGAAAATACATAATTTATCAATTGTCTTATCTTTAACTGGTTGAAATTTCAGGGTGGTATCTCTACCAGTGTTTGGGTTATGACCGAACAACCTAAGGCCAGATGAGACTACACGTTTTTGAGCCAGTCACTGATTGGTTGATTTTAAAGCTTACAATTGGTTTGAAAATTGCCATCGGGGCTGTTTGAATTGATTTAGCAAGAATGAAAGGAAAATCTGCGAAGAACACCAAAAAGAATCCAGTTGTCCTGTATTGTCCTATCAGAATTCGTTTGCCACATTGTTTGAAAAAAGAGGTTTTTATCCATCGTCCAAAACGTTAAGATTTTGGTAAAAGAATAATTTATCCGAAAAAATTTTCAAAAGCTCAGCCGTGAAGGGTCTCAAAAGGATTTAATTTTTTACCATATTTTATGTTTTACTATTTTTTGCCAAATTTAGAGTACCCAATTTGTCAATTTCACAAATGCTAATGCTCATTTTTTACCAAAGTAGACTGGAAATAAACCCCGGCTTTTTTTCCAAAGGGTGTATTCGATAAAAATGACACACACATATTTACTCACCAGAATTAAATCGATTATCGGATTTTCTTGAAATTTTCAGGGAATGAAAAACTACTAATAAGTAATGATTTACAAAATTTGTTTTAATTAATTTTGTCTCCCATCCCGAATGCCCGCACCTTTCTTTTCACTCCAACCATCAAATTTTGTACAAACAAATTTTCCCGGTGTTTTTGTTGATTTAACCTCAATTTTCATCAACTCCAACACTGTTTTAAATGTTTGCGAAGTTCCGTCTTCATAATTGCCGAAAAATTTTCAATTGGGTGACGTTCCGGTGAATTTGGTGGGTTCTTATATGTTGGCACAAAATTGACTCCGTTGGCTCGGTACCACTCCAACACGTTTCGAGCGTAGTGGCAGGGTGCTAGATCAGGCCAAAACAGGGTTGAAACTTTGTGCTTCCTTATGAATGGCAATAGAAGGCACTCTTCCGTTTAAATCGCACCGTTGATTGTTCCGGGAGTGATTAAGGGAGCGCTTATTTCACCTTATCCTCAAATTGCCTGCAGGATCAGGAACTTCTTTGCAAATTCCGACAATTTCTTCTTTCGAACATCCTCCGGAACATCGAACTTAGACTTGGCAACGAAATATTCTTGCCCCGGAAGTTGACGGAAGTTTCGTCATCCATCACGATGCAACACGATTTGGTGAGCAACTTCGTGTAAAGTTTCCGGGCGCGTGTTTTCGCAGTGATGTTTTGCTTTTCACTCCGGTTTGGGACTTTTTGCAGCTTGTAAACATTTAACTCAGCAAGCTTCATGGTTTTCGGCACAAAACCGACTGACACCTTGGACTTTTTAGCGACACCTCGAATTAACATGTTTGGACGGTTCTTGAACTGTTGCACCACTTTCCTGGCCATTTTACTTTCCATTGGACTCCATTCTTTGAAGGTTCTTATGACACGAGACACAGTTGTATTTTCAATTCCAAGCTTTTTAGCGATCCATCGGTGGGATGCCTCTGGATTTTGATTGTGAGTGCACTAAATTTGTTCGCGGACAATTTCTTGTTTCGATTACAAGACTGGAACTACTGTATGAATAACTATGAAACTTGACAGATGTAAACAATATACTATGAATAAAATTTACTCAAATTTTCAGGTTTTCTACTCATACGGTTCAAAAGTTACAGAAGATTTTCGATGTGCCATTTTATCGAATACACCCTTTATTGCCGCTAGTCAAAGTTCAAAGTTCTATTATCGCTAGTATTTCGATATTCTATTGTAGAATGTAGTGCTTTATTACAATCAAAAATTTAAATTTTTAATTTTACTTTCCTGAGCCAAAAAAAACCTAAGTGATTATTTTCAGCGCAGGTGTGCAAAATGAGCATTAGGCTGGGGCAAGTTTGTATGGTGGATGACCCGTTGCTCACTGCTCTGTCAATGCATGTCGAGGTACTCAACAACTGTGCAAAATTTGACCGAATTTGGTTATAATTACGATTTGCGGAAGAATTTCAAATGTTACCTATATGGGCAACGAATCGAGTCTATTCATTTGCTTGCTAAAAATTCAAATATTGCTCAAATTTCACCAAACCTTGGAAATAGATTGGGAATACTATGCAGAACAATTTTGTTCCTATGTGGCATGATAGGTCTAAATTAATGTTATAATAACTTTTGTCTCAGAAGTCTAATTGACCTGCAGTCTATCAATTAGACTTCTGAGACAAAAGTTATTAAAACATTAATTTAGACCAATTATGCCGCAAATACCTAAAGGCGTATATATGAGCTTGTAGGTACGTGTGGAACACTTGGTCTAAAGTGAAAGATTAGTAACTTATTGTACAAAGATCAAATCGATTTGTTGTCTTGGACAAAGTTGTTTTGCATAGTATTCTATATCCGAGACATGGTGAAATATGAGCAATGTTTAGACTTTTGGTAAGTAAATGAACAGCATCGTTCCTATTACCATACAAAATTTAAAAATTTCCCGCAAATCGAGATTATAACCAAATTTGTTCAAACTGTGCAAAGTTGTTGGGAACCTCAATACGCATTGAAAGAGCAGTGAAAAAACAGTGGATTGTTACAGCTATTTCCCGAAGAACGCCTTACCCACTGAGTTGCACCCACCGCTTTTTCTCGGCGGGTTTCAACCTGGGGGGCAGTGTTGGGAAAATATCAAAAAATCAAATCTCACCAACGCCCAAGATCACGCTTGATTTTCGCAGACAAAAATCAACAAGCAAACTACTGCGGTTTCTTTTGCAAGTTGTGATATCGCAGCTCGGAATATCAAGCTAACAAAACTCACCAACTGCAAATCTCACCAAACTGTGGTGAGATTGAGTTTAATGATTTTTGCTTTACACCCGAATGCAACCGAAACTTCCATAATGGCTTGCAGCAGTCCCTTCGCGTCTGCCATCGGTGAAGATTAAAAAGAGATAGCAAACTATGCTTTCTCTTTCTAAAAAAAAACGATGTGTAATGGAATCATTTTTGTGTCGAGTCAACTCTCAGCTTGATTTTTGCACATTGTGAATAGTCTCGCAATATCAAAGGAGCTTGTAAAATGATATTTTGTTCTAATATCACGCGTGATATTGCGAGCGCATGAGAGCGGAAAAATATCAATTGATTTCTGATTTTTCCAACACTGCTGGGGGGACGTGCTGTCAAATCAGCCTACTGATCATTCTTGTATGAAACTGGTTCCAAACGTAAACAAACCCTGTAGGTTTCTTATGGCTTGTTTACATTTGGAACCAGTTATGCGAGGTAGGCGAAGATTGTTCGTATTTGACAGCCACCTCCCCCCCTTGGTTTCAACCAGTTGGTCTGATTTTTTGCATGTGAGTAGGGTCAATGGAGAACTAGTCACTCTCAGAAAATCAGAGAGCTTGGTTGAAACCCCGCCGAGAAAAAGCGGTGGGTGCAACTCAGTGGGTAACGCGTTCTTCGGGGGAATCCTGTAAGTG